CCTCTCTCTCCCTATGTTTCTATATGCCACCATTACACATTACTAACTTTTTGTTTCCTCTCTCCCGTAGTGTGTCCTCTCTCTCTCTCCCTGTAACTTTCTGCAGGTTGCCCTGGAGCTCTATATCTCTGACGAGCAGTCACCGGCCACATCGACCTGATCAGTGTTTGATTGTTGTGTCTTGTTGCTTTTCTTCTTTTGTCTCTCCTCTATCCACTCACCCCAACCGGTCGAGGCAGAAGGCCGCCCACCAAGAGCCGGGGTCTGTCGGAGGTTTCTTCCGTTAAAGGGAGTTTTTCCTCCCCACTGTCGCCAAGTGCTTGCTCAAGGGGGATTTGTTGGGTTTTCCCTATGTAATAATATTGATAACAGTAAGGTCTAGACCTTACTTTGTAAAGTGTCCTGAGATGACTTTTGTTGTGATTTGGCACTATACAAATAAAATTTGATTTGATTTGATTTGATTTGATAGTAGTCACGAAGTAGCTGTCTATTCAAAATCTTAACCTGATAGTCATACCAATATATTAAAAATCCAAGCGACCAATTTCGGCAAATTGTTAACAGCCAATTAAAATCACAGCCGTTGTCAAATTTGTGCCAAGATGTTAGTTTTTACTTTTATAGATCCTACGCCTCCGAACTGTAGCTGGGAGACCTCTGGTGTTTATGCTAAGGCCTGGTTCGTAGCTAGCTAATGCTTGTATTATGCCATTTTATTAAGTTCTGACACTTTTCATGTGACAAAGTAACCACTTAGATTGAATATGTGGTCGACACCAGGAACTTTACTTATATAAAATTTTTTTAGCAACTATGTTAAATGTTGGGAGCAGAAACAAAGCAAACAACCTTCATCATGGTGAATTATGATGTGACAGTCCCTTAGTACTCGTTACAGGCGTCTAGAAGAATTCCTGAGTTCGCTAGTATAACTCCCATCATGCACCTGGAGCACAGGCCAGTGAGGTGGTAAGGAGGAATGTAGGTGTGAGTGTGTACTGTGGCATCTGTCTACTTGTACATGTGTAATGCCTGTATACTGCTTATCTATACATTTGTCTGTGTGTTTTCTGACTTTAGGTGGTATCAATGATAGATGGGATAAATATGGTTGATTTTTTTTTTTTACTGCAAACTCAGGATCTAGACCAGGATGGCCTATCAGAACTGCTGTCTCCTCCATTACCTCACACACAGGTGCTTTATATGTACACACTCATTTTCGACTTCTACACTAACACAAACACACTCTCAGCTGCTGTACTGATTGCTTGTTTTCCTGACGCAGCACTAATCAGTGTCATCAGTTTCACCTGGAGGCTATTGATCTGCCCGGGTTATGGGGAAGTTGACTACACTGAAGATGGTATGTGATTTGGGTTGTATGTGTCAAAGTTAGAAGTAAAACTTGGATAATGATATTTCTGTTTTCTGTACTGAATTGTTTGTGATTCTCTGGGCTTTATACTGGATAGAGGATGTAACACCAGATAAAGTTCTTATTTGTTCTGACTCCGCTTCAGCTTTACTGTCTTTAATTGGAAGGAGGCCTCGATCTTGATTTCAATTACTTTGTTTAGAATTGGAAAGTCAGGATGTGAAGTCCAATTATGCTGGGTTCCTGGGTATATAGGGGTCAGGGCCAATGCAATTGTGGACAGTATTGCAAATTCAGATTTAAGAAATGAACAAACAATTAATAAATGTCCATATGGGAAGGTTGATTCCAAAAGTAAAATCAAACAATGTATGGAGAGGGAGTGGCAAAATCAATGGGGAAAAGAAGTTAGAGGGGGACTATTTTAGTTTTCAGCCCACTATTGGGGAAGACCAATTATTGTAATGGAAATTGCAGGGATTCAGTTAAATTTACTAGACTGAGGCTGGGGAGCTGTGGGTTAAACAAATGTCTGCAGAAAGTAGGGAAACACATGGATTATATGAGTGTGGCAGTCCAGAGAAAGTTCCACATTTTGACAATGTGTAGGAAGTATGCCATGGAGAGAGGTTAATTGTTATCTGAGCTATGAATTTTTTGTTTTTCTATTGCTAAATTGTTTGGCCAATCTGAGTACCACCAATTAACTGTAAGGGCTGTTATTCAACTTTTTAAAATTACCAGTTTATATTCAAGGATATGATCAGACTCATGTATATTTACTGTATCTGTGGAGCGCAGAAATACGCCTGGTTGTGTCTGCACTGCCTTGGATGAAAGAAGAAGGAGAAGGTGTGCCAAACGTCTGTGTTCTCCATCAGACCTGTTTTTTTTTTTGTTTTAACCTAAGAATAAACCCTAATCTTGAGGCATCTTTCAGAGTGCCAAGTCCTTTATTTTGTTTGTGTCCTATAGAAATCCATTAAATGTCTCCATATTTGACGTTTATGCCAGGTGTCATTCTATCAGTTCTTTGTATTAATTTCTGAAAATTTTAATCTTTTATCATATCTTATTATGGCCAATTCATTTTTTGATGGCAGCAAGAGAGTAACTGAAAAACTGCAAAACGTGATTTCTGTAACCTAATGTATATTTGTATTGGACTTGTAAAAATATTTCTGTGGAACTAGATGATAACTAGATTGTGGTTAGATTGTTTATGAGCAGCAGCAGCTGTGTTGGTGACGACAATCCGTTTTGTTGGTCCTTTTTGTGTCTTGCCGCCGCTGGTATAGTTTGTACTGTGGCGCCCTCTAGTGGATGGTCAGGCACACAGCCACGTGCCTGTGCTCACCAGCTCTTCTCTGGTTGGTTGACTGAGCTTCCCGTTTTATAACACTGACCCCGTGCGTGTTACCAAACACAGACTTCTCAGTCAACACCAGAGGACTTTTAGTTGGAAGAGACAATTAAGGTAAAGTCATATTTCATACATGTGCAGCAATTTGAGCACGTAACTAATTAAAGTTGTAACATGTTGCGATTATATTGTTTCATTGTGTTGGTTCCGTGTTTCGGCAACTGAATGTAACTATGGGCACGATGATTTCAGAACTTCCAGGTGTGTCCCTTTCATGTAGGTCCGTGAAATGTATCGGACTTTTTAAAAATGGTAGATCATACTGTTACATTTGCCAGAACATGTACAGCACTTTGTGTGAGGCTTCACTAGCTTCCACCCAGTTCACCTCTGACCATAAACCTCCTCTGTAAGAAGCCTGTGATGTGTTTACAGGGTCACCAACATGGCACATACGTGTGTTCACTGGTTCCGCAAGGGACTCAGGCTGCATGACAACCCAGCGCTGATGGCTGCTCTGAGGGACTGTAAGGAGCTGTACCCCGTCTTCATCGTGGACCCGTACCTCCATAACAACACCTGTGTGGGCATCAACCGCTGGAGGTTCCTCGTTGGAGCCCTGAAAGATCTCGACTGCAGCCTCAAGAAACTCAACTCCAGGTAGAAGCACCGGGACAATCTACAGAAATATTGAACATCACAGAATATACAACTGTTAAAAACAAACAGCGATACCTTGCCTGCAGTTATAAGACTGATGTTATAGTTATATTGGCTGACTGTGGTGTGTTTGAATTCTTCAGGCTGTTTGTTGTGAGGGGCAAACCAGAGGATGTGCTCCCCAGGCTGTTCAACAAGTGGAAAGTAACACAGCTGACCTATGAGTACGACACGGAGCCCTACAGCCTGAGCCGGGACAGAACAGTGGCTGCACTGGCCAAGGAGCGTGGAGTCAAAGTCATCTGCAAAATCTCACATACTATATATGATATAGACAGGTATTAATCATGTTGAACATTCACTCATGCACAGTCCTCCAGTGGCCGTCTCAATGGTGAGTGCACATTGTTTGTCTTTTCTTTGTAGGATAATTGAGGAAAACAATGGGAAGGCTCCCCTTACTTATAATCATATGCAGGCAATAGTGAAGGCTCAGAGCCCCCCTAGGAGGCCGATCCCTGCTCCAACCATGGAGGATATGAAAGGTAGTCATCTACTGAATCATATTGTATTTGTAGAAATAAACACATAAACCAATTAGTTTAAACTGAGTTTATCAAACTGACATAAAATGTAATCACTCACTGATTGAAATGTGTCTCCTGTGGCGCAGATGTGAAGACCCCTTGTTCTGAAAACCATGAAATGAAATATGGGATCCCCACACTGGAGGAGCTCGGCCATGGCACGGCAGCTCTTGCAGAGGAGCTGTTCCCTGGGGGAGAACAGGAGGCTCTGAGGAGACTAGAAGAATATATGAAACGAACGGTACCCACACAGAACAAAGCTCATTTTCACGTTAAACAGGGAATCTTTCTAAACCAACATCCAAACCACTAATAAAGAAGTTTGAATACTGACACTGTTAACATGCATATATGCAAATGTCTAATTGACGTTTCATCTGTTTCCATGTTTCAGGAATGGGTGTGTTCCTTTGAGAAGCCCCAGACATCTCCAAACTCCCTGAGCCCCAGCACCACTGTTCTCAGTCCATATGTCACGTTTGGCTGCCTGTCTGCATGCACCTTCTGGTGGAGGCTGACAGAGGTTTACCAGGGGGTGGGTGTCCCATTACAGCTTCTGTAGCATTGTGCTACACTGGGCTGCACAACTGATTCTCTGTAACAGTACTGTAACCAAATAAATTTCCTTAATAAAAAAATGTAAGATCGTTTTTTAAGATATGGAATTGGCAGATAAAGTTTGGCTATTAATGCATGGACAATTCAGTTCAATCTGTATAGTGACAAATCACAGCAAAAGTCATCTCAGGACACTTTACAAAGTAAGGCCTAGACCTTACCATTATTATAGAGGGAAAAATCCAACAAACCCCTGCCTCGACCGGTTGGGGTGAGTGGATAGAGAAAAGGGAAAAGAAAAGAAAAGCAACAAGACACAACAATCAAACACCGGGCAAGCTGATGTGGCCGGTGACTGCTCATCAGAGACATAGAGCTCCTGAGCCAGGGCAACCTGAGGAAAGGTACAGGGGGAGAGAGAGGACACACTCAGTTAGTGACTGATAGTGGTGGCATATAGATGGATGTAGAGAGAGAGGAGGAAAACTCAGAGCATCATTGGAGAGCCCCATCAGTCTAGGCCTATAGTAGCATAACTAAGGGAAGGTTCAGGGTCACCTGATCCAGCCCTAACTATAAGCTTTATTGACATAACTTAAAAATATGCTAAAGCTTCACTTTATGCCTCTTTTTGCAGAAGAAGCATTCAAAGCCTCCAGTTTCCCTGCATGGCCAGTTACTATGGAGAGAGTTCTTCTACACGGCCAGTGTAGGTATCCCAAACTTTAACAAGATGGAGGGCAACCCTGTGTGTACTCAAGTGGATTGGGACACCAACTCCGAATATCTGGCCGCCTGGAGAGAGGTACTGAGAAGAAGACTCTTGAAGAGAATTTATGCTGCTATCATTTGCTGACATGCCATGATGTTCGTTTAGGGATCATCTATTTTTATGAGTTATAAATAATTCCTGCCATCTTGTACTGTATACGCCTTAAGGCTCGGACTGGTTTCCCCTTCATCGATGCCATCATGACTCAGCTGCGACAGGAGGGCTGGATCCACCACCTGGCCAGACACGCTGTTGCCTGTTTTCTCACCAGGGGAGACCTGTGGATCAGCTGGGAAGAAGGGCAGAAGGTATGTCAGCGAACCAGCCTCACTCATTGCTGTGGACTAAGCTAAGCATGATTTTGTTTCTAGCAAAGAACATAAGGTGTGATGGTCAAATGGCCCAGTTTCCTCCCAAACCGCTGGGTTATGATATGTTCCTTCCAGAAGCTTCTCCATAAATGTCTACCACATGTGAAACGTCCTGGTCTCCTCACTGACACCGTCGCTGTCGTCGCTCTCCTCCATCTTTATTGTTACTGATCTGTGAGGGGCCGATGCCGAATGATGACAACAGGCCGTATGTGCAGAGGAGGAGATGTTAAAATGACCATATGGATTCTGATCTGACCGTTCTGACAGCACTGCACAGTCAGAGGTCGGAGAGGAATCGGATCTAGGAGCATATAAGCAGGTGGCCCAGATTTGGTCTGAAGACATCTGGTCTCGTCTGTTCACACTGCTGTGAGAAGATCAGATCTAAGTCACTAGGAAACAAGTTGTATTGGAATCACTTCAGAATGTCATCTGAACATTGCATAAGAAGCCTTTAGAGTCTCCAGATGGAGCTGCATGAAATCTGATATTTCCCTCAAGTAATGTCATTTGAGCCAGCTTCATCTGGATCTGAAGATGAGAACATCTGAGGCTGTGGCATTGGAACTTTGCAGGCCTCTGTAGCTCCCTTTTCATTTCTGCTTGAGGCTGCATTAGCTGCTCTAGACATAACACACTGGAGTCTGTCCCAGCGGCTCAAATTTCAGCTTTTGGCAAGGAAGAGTTGCTGCATTAATTCTGATCCTTTTTTTAGCCGTCCATTGGGAGCCTGATAGTGTTGTAGGGCTGCCATGCTAAATCACTGGAGAACTTTATTCTTATCTGCTCCTGCAGGTGTTTGAGGAGTTTCTGTTGGATCTTGACTGGGCTCTGAATGCTGGGAACTGGCAGTGGCTCTCAGCGAGCACCTTCTTCCACCAGTTCTTCAGGGTCTACTCCCCGATCGCCTTCGGCAAGAAGACAGACAAAAATGGAGACTACATCCGGTAAGATCCTAATTGTATTAAGGTCAGAGTATCACACATAATGGAGGTGTTACATGAAATTAGTTTTTCTCTGCTGTATTTGCAGAAAGTACCTTCCTCTTCTGAAGAAGTTCCCAGCAAAGTTTATCTATGAGCCTTGGAAAGCTCCACGCAGTGTCCAGCAGGCAGCAGGATGTATTGTGGGTAAAGACTACCCATCTCCTATTGTACAGCATGAGCTGGTCAGCAAAAAGAACATCCAGAGGATGAAGTTAGCTTATGCCAAGAGAAACTCCACTGAATCACAGACCAAATCACCCAGAAAATGGCACGGTATTGCAAATTTATACATACTCTTATGAGAGATGTATCACCTTTGATGTTTGTGGCTGTGCTTTCTGTACATCTCACGTCTTCACCATCTCTTATGTTTTCCTCCTAGGTGTAAAGCGCAAGGCTCCCTCTGTCATCGACATGCTCAATAAGAAAGACAGAAAAAATGTTGGTGCAAATTAATGTAAGGACCAAAAGTCCAGCAACACCCAATTTTATTGTTAGACCAGCACATTTCTGATTTCTATTATATTTTGCTCAATCTTTTTAAATGTTTACAATATTTAGCTCCTGATACTTTGGTTCTACAGTATGCCACACTGAATAGGCACCTTTTGGGTGAACCCCAGTTTCCTTAATTGCATCCATGTTTCCCTCACTTGTCTTTTTCTTGCATCTTTGTCCCACGCACGGAAAAGCTGTGAGGTGAGAGGAATCGAGGAAGCACGATGAAAAAGACATGAAACGTTCTTTCCTGTGGTCTTTGATCACTAGGAACACTTCCGAATATAATGTAGGCCAGTACAACACCTACTTTAACTGTGAGCTCAATAATAAACTTGTAATTGAATTTATACATTTATGACAGTTTCACCAAAAACTGAAACATGTTGAGCTTCATAAACCACTGTTAAGGTGGAAGTGTTGCATTGAACTGTGTACTGGTGTACCTAATAAATTGGCCACTGAGTACGTTGGACTCAGAATTGAGGAGGTTTAAGCTGCAAGTGTTGCTGGAGTTTTGACAGGTTGTTTTTCCTTCTCCATGCATCGTGGCAGTAGCAGTGCCAGAAATTGTTCCTATGGCACAAAGTAATGCCTGTAGTTGTGTTTTGTGCAGCATGAAACTGTTAATACCAGTGCAAATTAACTGAATTTGTGGGTGATCTGTTTGAGAGTGGTCTCACTTATGTCGGCTGGCAGTTTACTATTATTAATCAAATCAAATCAAATCAAATTTATTTATATAGCATTTTAAAACAACATCCAGCTGACCAAAGTATTTTACATGGGAAAATAAAATCACAATAAATGACTAAAATAAAGTAAATAAGATCAGTGCAAATAAAAATAAAACAGCACAATAACACAGACACGCAATGTATGTTTGATAAATTATTGCCGTTTGTAATGCACCTTCATTTTCTACAATGCAAATGCTTGGAGATTAGGTTGAGATTTATGTCTGAAGGATACAGTTTGCATCAAGGCTCACAGTCTGATTCACAAACAGGCCTTTTTAGTTATTGTAGCTGAAATGGTGAACTGACTACTCCGGTTTAGTCTGTGGTATCATTTTATGTTGTTTCCAAAAGAATGTATTCTGCAGTTTTCCCAGCATTTTAATAAACCATCAGAAATGTAAATAAATGTATTTGTCTGTTATTTCGGTGTTGAGATGTCTTAGCACTGTGTTGCCACTAGAGGTCACAGTAAAGCTGCCAGGTTTGTGTTCATTTATACTGTATACTATTTATTTAGTGAATAGAACAAGTTAACAAATGGTCACCTGCTGAGTTGATATAGGCTGTAATCTGCAAACATATTTAGTTTGGGGCCATTTAATACAGTTATCATTTAAAAAAGCATCTTAAGAGCTGCAGTCAGCACTAAGCAGCAGATGTTTTATTTTGTAAACGGGGTATTTTATTACAAGACAAAATGTAAAAAAAGTCATTTGCCCCTTCATTTAGCTATAGTTCATTTATTTGTTCATTCATTTACCTTTATAAAAACTTTATTTTGAGTTATTTTCATTCCTAAGTTTCCTAAAAATGCAGCTGGCCCAGACTGATCTCCTGCTTCACAGTGCCCATCGGCTCCTGTTTAATGCTTCCCATGCAATATCACCAGAGTCCTGCTGTTTGAATGTAAGCGGGTGCAGGCAGTGGTAGCTGAGTGTGAGGGGCACACAGCTGTCCTCTAGGTCAGGTCTTCTCCTGTTTCTGCTTCCTTGGAGCTGACGCTGGTGTCAATATCCAGAGTATGATGTCACAGCCTCCGCAGCGGGCTGGGCGGCCATACAAAGCCGTGCTCAGTTTCCACAGAGACCTGTCAAACATCAACACAGTCTGCTGTCCAGCTGGCCAGACATGGAGGAGGGTGTTTTGGCACTGGGCCACTTTGCCAACAGACTCTCACGACAGCCACAGACCCTGACAGGACTGGCTGAACTGAGGCACTTAGCTGAGTACAGATGTGTTTGCTAGTTTTCTTTAATGGTTTATTTGAGGCAATGGTCTAAAAGTCAGTATACTAGTATAATATTGGTCCTATAAACATGCTAGGTAACATTGCCTCTGCCCCTGTTTGGCCATTGGTATGCCCTTGTCAACACCTCACTACTCAAACCTTCTTGGATGTGAGTGCTGTAATGTCCCACCTGGATTAGGACAGCGTGTTCCAACACAGCTCCGATTCCAGTGTTTCATATAGCTTTAACATTAGTGATTTATTACAGAGTTTATTTCCTCCACGAGCAGCGACATCAAAAGGTTATTCACAGTTTCTACGTTCCAGGTTTGCTAGTGAGGAATAGGAACAGATCTAAGCAACGTGTTCTACAGCAATAAGGCTTAACAGTGCCAGCTCTGTAAAGTGGGTCAGTTCAAGTTGACATCAGATGTGCCTGTTTCATCCATTCTAACATTATGCTTCAGTTTTAGCCACCAAATAACACTTTCTGCACAAAGGTACTTGTGATGAGGCTCATTTACCTGGTGAGAGGTAACACACAGCACCTGTTCTTCTCAAAAATGTTGCCACTGTTTAATTACACAGAAAAATTAACACTGACATTCATTTTGGCTGCCACTGTGGATGAGTCGGTGGCAGGCAGGTGTTCACCGATGGTCGGCTGCACTAAAAGCAACAAAATGGACCAAGATTGGTGAGTTTCATTTTCTCTCTTTTTTAGAAAAACTGTACAATTTTATCTTTTAGTTGAGCTGATGACATAATAGGAGGAAGAGCGAGGAACAAGAAGAAGATTATGAGTGAAAGGTTCATGATTACACCTGAAAGGTTGCTATTTATTGGACATGATGCCTGGAAAGTAAATGCCACAGTGAAACTGAAGAGTGTCCGACCTGCTTCATACCTTCTGGTCGTTATCTGTCTCCGTAAGCATGCACACACACGTCTGCACACATCCAGAACAACAACAGTCCTGCAGACCTGATCTTGTCCATTAACATTCTACTGCTAATGACTGATTATAACAATTTACATTTACCCCGTGGTAACCTCCATCTATTTCTCATGTTTGTGGCAGACAGGTACTGGTATAAACAAAGCCAAAGGTAGTGATCTCAGTGAGAAAGGGGGGTGTAAGATGACATGGACAGTGAAAATACATGAAAACGAAACATCATGGAAAAGCGGATTAAGTGGATATCTATCAACATAGTGAATGTCTAAAGAAGCAGAGATGCAGGTTTCTTTCAACATAATGGTACATTTTTCTGTATCTTCATATGTGTGGTGTTGGGACATCCCTCTCCAGCAATCAGCAGTTTACCCACATGCCTCAGAGGGGATCGACATCAACAGAGTCACATGACAGTCTCCTGGTCTCTCTTTCCACACCCTGCTGTGTTTTGATCTGTCTGTTCACACCCTGAACATCCAGACCGTGCTGGGGCAATTGTGTTTTCCAGCCCCTTCACAGGAGACCGGTGTCCAGCCCATGATGTACGTGCCCATCACTACATTTTCTCTGAATATTTATGTGTTGTAAGTATGTTTGAATGTTGTGAAATGAAAGTCTTCCATTGTTCTCACACTTGAGGCGGTGCATCACCTCCCTGGCAAGAAAAGTGGAGAATATAGGACTTGATAAATGGATGGAACAAACCTATTAAAATAGCTAAACAGGAGGAACATAGGCATGTGTAATATGACGAGTGTATGTGGGAACATGAATTCAGATTGATGTGTTTCAACTCAGTTTACAGTGAACACACTGAAGCAACTGGCTGAAAGAGGAGTCAGAAGATGTAAAGTTTGTTTACCAGGCAAAAACAGTTCAAGGTGAAAAAATAAAACACCCATCTATTATCTGTGTGGCTCATCCTGTGGAAGGCCACAGGGGGCTGGAGCTAACCCCTGCCAACACTGGACAAGAGGCGTGGCACGCCCTGGACAGGTCGCCAAGTCGTTCACAGAGCTGACACACAGACACATTCTCACCCACAGAACACCTGTCAATCTAAGCTTAAGGCAGAGGAAACCCACACCGGCACAGGGAGAGCACACGGACTCCACACAGAAAGGTCAGCCATGAGGATTGAACCTAGAGCCTTCTTGCTGTGAGGTGACAGTGCTAAACACGGCACCACCTAAAATCAAAACATTCTTACAGGTTATCTTGTTACTGTTTAGTAAATTAATTTCTACTTATTTTTGATTTGTTTGAAGAAAGACAAACATGTCAGGCATGTACCTGCCTTTGAATTATAGTTAACCAAACCAAAAAGACAACCAGTCAAAGAACTGATGTGTGTGTACGTGTGAGCATGCGTGCCCATAGATCTGTGGCAGAGGGATCTGCCTGCTTAAGGCTGTGATATTCCTATAGCTTTTCCTCTGGGGCTCCAATACAATTGTCACTCACAGGACAATGCATAGCCGGGAACATGATCAGCCTCGCCGTCTTGTTGTGCTATATATCAAGAACAAGATCATTCTAAAGAACAATGGAACCAATGTGGCAGTTGATGCTGTTTTGTACAGTTTCCCTCTGTGCTGACGAGTCCTGTGGTAAACAGATGTCAACATGCAGTAACTCCACCCTTTAATGATTGGAACTGCCTGTGACTGGATGACTAAACTGCTCATATTAATGGACTTAAAAGCAATGACGTCATCCTCCTGATAGATAGGCTCATGAAACTTTACTACAGTCTGCACAGCTGAAAGGTTCAAGGAGAAGAGAAGCCAACAACAAGGCAAACAAGCTGCCCCTCTTTTCTCTGAGCTCATGCTGAACACAATTTTTTTTTAAATCCTTTGGGGAACTGTCAAATCTGGAATGCCCTTGTGTTTGATGTGACATTTTCTTCTTCAATGGGATTTTTTCTTGTTTCTGCACAGAACCTTTACTACATGGCTTTTCATTTTTCATGCTGGCATATGCTTTTTACTTTTTGTCCACTTTTTGGAAAGTGTGATGTGCTCTTGTGCCTATTTGTAGGCTGACTATAAATAGTCCAGCAGCCTACGCATGCTCATGCTTGATTGAAAATTGCAGTGCCATCAGTCAGTGCTGTGGGGTTTCTGTCAAAGGAGGGAAAGAAACCTGTGAATGGTGAGTTAACTGTATAAAATAGACTGATCCAGGTTGGTTTTTGCAAAAAAAAAGTTTATTTTTGCAAGCATCTCTTGCAAGAGTGTTTGTTTTTATATAATACAACTTTATGTCGTTCTGTCTATTGTCAAGTTATCACTGTTAATGTTTTTACTCTGTTTTCATTTAGTCTCCCAGGAAAATCAAAAAGTGACAAGGCAAACTTTATTTTTTCCCAGAGAACTGTTCCTTCCTCAGTATATCTTTAGCTGGTAGGAAATGGGCTCACGGAGGACAACACCACACTCCTCTTTGGGGAATGGAAGGTCCAGCAGTGGGGAGGATAATGGGAATAGTCGGCCTGGAAGCTGCAGCTACCTCTCCAATGTCAGGCCAGAAAACAGGTACAGCTTCATGACTAACTCTCTGTCCTACCTGTTGAAACGCCAATGCAGGGACCATGTTGTTAACATGTGCTCTACAATTTATCATTACAGGATTTTCTAACTTGGGACAAACATGTGTGTCATGTTATTTCTTTGTTTGTTGTCATGGTCACCAGAGTTTAAATAAACTGCCGCTTAAGAGCAGCATCTCAGTCATGCACCACGGCTCTGTTTCACATTATGCAATAGACTAGCAACAGATCTGTACATGGAACAGGAGGTGACGACCTTCAGGTTCAAATATTTAGTGAAGCATCGGCTGAAAGAATACACACGTTTGTTTCAGATAATATAACTTGTCATTCTTCAAGGCAATGGGCAAGTTGCCAGTGCAATGTTGCATTAGAAGAATGTGATTGTTAGTGTTTTGTCACCCTTTCTTTTAGATGGTGATGCACTTTACTCTGAAAATTCCCAGTGAGTAATGATTCTAAAATCCATCCATTATCTATATCGCTTATCCTGACAAGGGTCACCTGGGCTGACCCATTGCTTTTGTATATGGAGTCTGCATGTTCTCCCTGTGCCTGCGTGGGCTCTCTCTGGGTACTCTGGCTTCCTCCCACAGTCCAAAGACATGCAGCTTAGGTTGACTGGTGACTCTAAATTGCCCGTAGGAGTGAGTGTGAGTGATTGTGGTTGTCTACATGTCAGCCCTGTGATAGACTGGAGACCTGTCCAGGGTGGACCCCGCCTCTCTCCCAGTGTCAGCGGGGATTGGCTCAGGTCCCCCTGTGACCCTCTTCAGGATAAGCAGTATAGACAAGGGATGGATGGATGGATAGTCTGCAGCATGTAAAGATTCATCTTCCCTTTCTTGTCCAGGAGCACACTCTGCAGTGTGATAGCACAGCTAACTGAGGAAACTCAGCCCTTCTTTGAAACAACTGTGAGGTCAAAAGCTGTGTGTGAAAACAGCAACGTCAAGTTCTCATGTGTGGTCACAGGTAAACGCTGCTTCAAGAAGATAAAGGTCTGATAACATGTTGCAAGACACTGTGTCATATGTGTGTGATCTAATGAGAATTTAGTGGAAGGCATATAAAAACTTAAAGGAAGTGAATACATTCAAATAACGTACTACCTCTGGAAAAAAGGCCAGCATACACCTGCTTTTATGAAACTTCTGATAATAACCAAAAAGAATACATTGCCTTAAAGTGATTACAAACCAAACTGCTCCCTTTTTAACGCTGATACAGGACTTCTTGAGTCGCTGCCCTGATGTCCACTGTTTTTGCTTTGTTTTTTCAGGATACCCGACCCCTCTGGTTATCTGGTATAAGGAAGATATGCAGCTAGACAGATACTGTGGACTGCCTAAATATGAAATTTTCCATGATGGACAAAATCATTCCCTGCACATTTACAAGTACGTATGTTTAGAAGCACTGATGTGACATCTAACTGCCATGATATAGAAATGTAGATCACAGCCACTGATCTTAGTTTAGCCAACACAGCAGGCTTATCTTGTCAGCTGTGTTTATTTGTTTTTGCAAATAATACGTTTGCTTGATATTTTAAATTACGCAACTTAAATGGGCTTTTGTTTGTAGCTGCACTGTGGAGGATGCAGCTATATACCAGGTCTCAGCCAGCAACAGTAAAGGCATTGTGTCCTGTGCTGGGGTTCTGGAGGTGGGTGAAATGAACGAATTGAAGATCCACGAGCATTACTTTGCCAAGATCAGACAAAAGGCTGTGCTCATGCGCAAGGAAGTGGAAGGCAAAGAAAACCAGGAGCCGCTGCGAACCATCAGCCCAGAGAGGCCCCAGAGGAAACGTCGCTCCACAATGGAGGCCTATCTCAACATGCCCAGCTCCATGGGAGAGGAGGAGAGCCAGCAGGCTGTAGTTGTAGAGACAGAGAGCAGGCTGCAGGAGGCCACTGTGGGGGAGGCAGAGGAAAAGTCCACCCCAGTCACTAATGGAGAAGCACTAAATGACCATGGAAACAAGGCTGGGACGTTCATATATGACTCTGCTCAGAGGTTGTTCACCACACTCCAACCCAAAATTCCTTTTGTCAAGAAGAAGATTAAAATTTCCAGCAGACCAAAAATTGCAAAATCAGATCCACTAAAAGAGAAGGCATCTGAAGAGAGAGGGACAAAGCAGAAGGCCGCTGGCACAAAGTCACAGCAGTCCAAGGGGAGCTCAGAAGAAGTTATGGAAGTAGACAACAGTGTTAGCTCATCAGTTGTGGACTTATACATCAGAAATGTGGCAGAACAACATCAGAAATCAGCAACAGAGGAAGCAATGCTAATGAAAAGGCCTTCCCAGGATGAAGACAAATGTGTTGTGCCACAGAGAAAACAGCTTACTGCATCAGTATCTCCTGCTGCTCTTACAGGTACAGGTCAGACAGTGCCAGGACCCAAAGGAAAACAAGCTGCAAAGCATGAGAAGAAAGCTGGACCCAAAAATGCAGAAGAAAGTTTGGGAATTCAGAGCCAGAGGCCTAACATGAACCCAGTACAACGACAGCCCTCAGCACTCCCAAGCCTATTAAAAAGACATGTTACTAAAACAGAAGATGCTACAGTTATGGATGTTGACAAGAAGTCAAATACATCCACTGGTGGATCTTTAGGAGGCTCGGACCTTGAGTGCATGGAAACAACATATGAGAGCAGGACCGCTTCAACTCAGCGTCCATCTGAACAGGCTGAACCTCAGCTGTCTCAGAAGGAACCAAGCCAAAGACTTGTGTCGGTGCCGCGGCCAGCACTGCACAGTAAGGTGAGGAAGCCTTTCCACATGAGCTCATGGTGCTTTGTGCTGCCAAAACAGGCCTCGTCAGTAACACTATTTATAGTGTTTAAAAGTATGTTCCCCCTGTGTGACTAGAATTAAATGACGCACATGCAGTATAGCCTAGATACAAGGTCTAGGCTATACTGCAGCATTTCTTACAACAGAAATTACTGTATAATTTGACTCAATAGTATGGACTAAGCTTCTAAGTTAAAGTAGAATTCAGTATTTTGGGAAATACACTTATTTGCTATCTTGCAAAGAGTTTGATGAGAATCTCATGTCTGCCTGTCAAAGATGAAACCACTGCCAGTATTAACTTAGCTTAGCACAAAGAATAGAAATGGAGAGAAACTGCTAGCCTGGATCAGTCACAGGACAACTGCTGGTTTTACTCTTCAGTTTATAAACAAACAAGCTCTAATGTATTGAGCGTTAGAAGTCCTGGACAACAGATTTTATTACCTAGCTGTTTCTGTGTTTCCAGTCTTTGTGCTAATTCAGTCTAAATGGTTGTCTTACAAACAAGAGACGAATCAAGCTTCTCAGCTTATCTCTCCCACGTTTCCTGTCAAACTATTCCTTTAAAAGTGAAATTTGATGGATAGTGTGGTGATGGAGACGTGATTATGTTAAATAAGTAAGTGCATAAAAATAAAGAAATTATTTGCTTGTTTTCAAATAAAAATAATCGGGTTCTCATGGATGGTCATTGGCAACAGCCTCAGCGGTTTGCTTTCATGGGGTTGTGAATTATTTTTGCAAGCTGCTTATGCAATCGTCCTGACCTCAGCTGCATGGCTGGATACTGACGACACTAAGAGCTGAGACAAGAAAACACTCTAAGGCTGAAGAGTCACTTCAAGTTATTTACATTCCTGTGTGATCACATGTAAATTTAAAATAGCAACCTTCCTTTTGAAGAGAACTCGTTATGCAGATGGAATGGAAACGGGCAGAAATTAGTACAAAATGCGCTTTTCTGTTTAAAAAATGTTTTAAAGTCTCTTCTGCACAATATGGGCAAAGTGAACAGCATATTACAGTTTATCTCACCTATAACACAGGGGGAGGCTTGTGCTAGTTTAAAAATGGGTCAGCAACAGACTTCATGCAGATTTGGTGCTCATAAAATATGTATGTGTGTATGGCATCTACAGTGCCTTGCGAAAGTATTCGGCCCCCTTGAACTTTGCGACCTTTTGCCACATTTCAGGCTTCAAACATAAAGATATAAAACTGTAATTTTTTGTGAAGAATCAACAACAAGTGGGACACAATCATGAAGTGGAACGAAATTTATTGGATAT